ATTAATTTATAATTATTTAAAATATTTAAAAATATATTTTATAAGCTGATTTTTAACTTTTAAGTAATAATATCAATTATCTATTAAATATTAATTAATAACTAAAGTTACCGATTAATTATGACAGTAAAATTAAACACACCTATAATTTTTTTCTTGTGTAGCCGGCATGGTAGTTGTAGAAAGTAGAAACACTGAGGAAACCGTAAACCCTCACGTTGATAAAGCTAGCTGTACCCCTTCGTGTCTTCTACTAAAACCCATAACCAACTAACCCAAGAAAAGGCAACAGAAAAACAGAGCATCTTGAAAGAAAGAAGAGAGAGAGAAATGGAGGTGGTGAGAGGTGGAATGATGGCGGCGGTGGCAGTTCTGGCCTGCGCCATGGCGGTGATGATGTCAGAGGTGGAAGCTACTAAGTTTACTGTAGGAGGAAACATGGGTTGGGGCACCAATGTGAACTATACCATCTGGGCTCAGGATAAGCACTTCTACAATGGAGACTGGCTCTGTAAGCTGCTCCTTTCTCTTCTCCTCTCAAGCATGTATCTTTAGATCTGCTTTGCAACTGGTGTGGCTTTTCTTGCTTAGTTTCTTAGCTCTCTCTCTGCTGTTCCACAGATGGGTTGCTTGTTTTGTTCACTTTCTCTTTGATCTATTTGTTTGTGTGAGAGTTCAGTGGTTAGATCTGAAATTGGCACTTCAAGTTCCATTTTTTCTTGCATGGTTACTTCAGTTTGAGTCTAATATACTTTCTATTTTTATAATTTGCTGCTAGAAAAAAGAAGCTGGATTCCAGATTAGGAAACATCATGATTTTCATTCCTTGTTTAACTATCTTTAAAATTTGTTGTCAAGGCCTGTTCTCTAACATCCCAGGCAATGCAGGGCATTAAAAAAAAAAAAAAAGGAAAGTGGTTTGATTTTGTTCATTAATTTTTAGTTATGAAACTGGATTTGGGGTAAATTTTAACCTTTTAGGAATTTGATAAACCATATTTAATCAGATCTCAAACTCTTCTTGGTGCCTATTTCAATTTAATGCAGAAAAGGGAGCTTTTCTTTCCCTTTTTTGTTTCCCGGACTTGGATATTCTGGATCTGTTAATTTAAAAGATCCTGTCTTCTACTCTATTCTGTTTTTTTTTTTTTTTTAACAAGGGCAATTATAGGGGGAAAAGGGAAATGGGCCACAACCCATTAGCTAGAGAAGCACCAATGGCCTATAGGTTAAGTGCAAATATTCAACTAGTTGATGAGATTCGAATTCCCAACTAATCCTATCCAAATATTAAGATTTGGAGACGGACTATTAGACTCCGAAGGGTTAATTCCCTTTTCTGCTACTTTTTTCCTTTGATATCTGCTCGGTAATTTCCCCTTTTAACTCAAATTTACTAAGATACTGGCTGCATTGAGTTTAGCTCTAGACTTGTGTAGCTTAATTCGCCAATTTGATTGGTGGACCAAATTCATCTGGTGATTTAATGCTTCATGTAAGCTATTGTTTTTGTGTGTTTTTTTTTTAAAGAAATCCATTCTTCCAGAAACTTTTACTGGTTAATTAAATGGTAATAGGAAGGGGAGTTGAGAAAATAATGTTATTGAGGTTCTGTCTTCAGTCCTCTCTGACAATTCAATTAGTATATGTCATCTATCTATTGCTCGCTGTTTATGGTTGAGCGCTTGGTCCCAACTTCTCTCAATGTTGTCTGAGATGATGATAACCGTTCTGCTTAGCTCTGTAATACTATTGGTCAAATTCATAACTTTAATTCAGAATTTAGAACCATTTGGCCTCATCTCTTCGATTGTATGTTAATCTGTTATTGCATTCTGCAGTTTTCGTCTATGACAGAAACCAGATGAATGTCCTGGAGGTGAACAAGACGGACTATGAGTCATGCAACACTGATCATCCACTTAAAAATTGGACAAGGGGAGCTGGAAGGGATGTGGTTCCACTGAACGTGACTCGCCATTACTATATTGTTAGTGGCAAAGGTTTCTGCTACAGTGGCATGAAACTAGCTGTCCGTGTTGAGAACTCACCTCCCCCTCCCACAGCCTCCCCAATCACGAGTGCCTCTCCAAATTCCATTTACAGAGGCCAGATCGTCTTACCTGCTGTTTTTGCCATTGGTGCCCTGTGGGACGCATTTATCCGATTCTGGTAGTAAAAACATCATCAACACTTCATTTTTACTGGGATTTCATAGACATTGTTTAATTCCTTCACCAGTTGTTTCTTTATATTAGGCGCAAGCTTTGATTGTTTTCTTGCTCGTGATGGTTGAATTGACTAGAAACTTAGGGGGTGATACAATCTTTTTAGGTAGTGAAATTGAGTGGTGTTTAAATTTTGAGATGTGTTAGGGAAAACCCTTCTGTGTCTATTGCAGAATTCAAATGCGTGATTGTG